TATTGTAAAAGGAACATAGTAGCATAGTGGACATATCGGGCTGCTAACCAGAAGGTCAGTGGTTCAAAGCCACCAGCTGCTCTGTGGGAGGAAGATAAGGCAATCTACTTCCACAAAGATTTACAGCCTTAGACACCCAAAGGGGGTCGCTATGAGTTGGAATCAACTTGATAGCAGTGGGTTTGGTTTTTTTGGCTACTTACTAAGTTCAGAAAAAATACATTCCTAAAGTCTAGGCTTGTTGTTTGGGTGATGGTAAACTGTGCATCTTAGATTCTTTTCTGACTTTATCCCACCGAAAAATTCTTAATCATATATGGCAAATTATCTCCTTGTTAATTAAGATGAGCCAGGTTTTAGTGAGGTCTAGCTTTCTCCACTACACATTACATATAAAAAAAAAAAAAAAATCAAACCCACTGCCATCGAGTCGGTTCCAACTCATAGCAACCCCCATTGGGTTTCCGAGACAGTAAATCTTTATGGAAGTAGACGGCCCAGTCTTGCTTCCATGGAGTGGCTGGTAGGTTTCAGCTACCAACCTTCTGGTTAGTAGTCAGATGCCTTAGGCACTGTGCTACCAGAGCACCTACTCATTATATATATGCAAGATATAAAATAAAAGAAAATTTAAATTTTTCCTGAAAAATCATAATTTACACAGGTAAGTAAGCCAACTAACAATTTTTGCATTTCAATAGTAAAGATTTAGTAGTTTGGGAAACTGGAAAACTAAAGTACCACATTTTCATTAATATACTATACCAACAGGCCTTAGAAATACCAACTAATGTTTCAATCATTTGCAATATCATACGCAAGGAGCTCTGGTTGCGTAGTGCCTAAGGCATTTGACTGCTAACCAGAAGGCTGGCGGTTCAAACCCACCAGCCACTCCTTAGAAGAAAGGTTGGGCAATCTACTTCTGTAGTGATACCTCCTCAGAAACCCAAGGAGGGGTCTCTATGAGTCAGGTCTGACTCCATGCCACATAACAACAACATCATACATAACCATATTCATGTTATCATAACTTTGTCACAAGTTACTATCTATAGGGCAAATTTTGGTTTTGGTCCTTGATTCCAGAAAGTGTGCTAAACACAGTTTCCAATTTTATAAATCCCAGAAAACTCTTTCATTGAGTTTATGTGTTGATTCTAATTTTTACATGTTTATAAATAAAAACTCTCTTGTTTTGAAACAAATTTTACTTTAATATTTAGCTCTAATATTCCTGTCAACAAAGACAAAAAAAGGGAAACAGAATGAGTGATATCCCACTCACAGCCACCTCAAGTCCCTCCTGGAAGAAGGAGGGACATGTATGTACATACAAATTAATTCACAGATAGCTCTTAATTCTCAGCACTTCATTATGAAAAAAAGTTGCTTAAATGGACTCATATGTGGGACTCACCACAGGACAGCCACAAATTAATTTACTTCCATTGCATGCATATAATGTAATTAATGTGCTTTGCTTAATCTCTTTATTCATCTAATATTTATTTTGTACCTACTAAAGTCATTGTACCCACCACCAGCCACTCCTCGGAAGGAAGGTTGGGCGATCTACTTCCGTAGTGATACCACCTCAGCAACCCAAGGAGGGGTCGCTATGGGTCAGATCCAACTCCATGGCACATAACACAACAACAAAGTCATTGTATTTTCTTTTATAATTAGTATTTCCTTTGCAGCACTAATGGCAATTATAATTAAGTATATCTAGTCCTTGCTTTGCACAGTATTAACTGAAAAGGGCCCTGCTGGCACAGTGGTTAAGTGCTCAGCTGTCAACCAAAAGGTCAGTGCCTTAAACCTACTAGATACTCTATGGGAGAAAGATGTGGCAGTCAGCTTCCATAAAGATGACAGCCTTGTCAACTGTATGGGGCAGTTCTACTCTGTTGGGTCAGAATCTATAAGTCAGAATCAACTCAATGGCAATAGGCTTGGCTTTATTGTTATTGTTATTAACCTAAACTCTATATTCAGACCATATAAAAGCAAGGGCACAGTTCCAATATGTATGAGTTTCAGTAAACATGGTACCCTGCAAAGTAAAGCCTCCCTGTTCTGGTTACCTAGTGCCACTCTGACAAGAATATACCACAAATGGGATGGACTTAACAAACAGGAATTTATTCTCTTACAGTTTGGAGGCTTTAAGTCCAAGTTCAAAGTGCCAGGCTCTAGGGGCTGGGTGAAAACCCCTCAATCTTGGGGTCCAGCTTTGCCTCCTGCTCCCGGCCCACTGGAGCTAGAGGTGTTTCTTCACTCAGACAGCTGCTGGCTTCTGAGGCTGACAAACCGAAGGTTGACAAGTAAAAAGGCATAGTCCCGATGTCACCAAACCACACAGCGGCCATTAATTTAATCCATTGTAAGTCCCAAGGTTGGCAGAGCACGGCAGGCTGCTGAACAATGACACAGCTACATGCAGCATCCAAACATGCCATAAGCTAGAGACCATTCCCAAGGCTTCTCCTTATATACAGGAAGCAGACCACATTCTAAAGGCAGCTACTCAGCTGCTTGTGGCAGATCCCACCATGGAGTTGATTGTTAGTCTCATCATGGGGAATAACTACCACCAGCCACCCAGCCACTCAACCAGGCTCAGCCAAGTTGACACACAAACATAACCACCACACTCCCTGAAATTTCTGTATAATTACTTATTTCTCACCCAGAAGTTTGTAAATTCCAGGTGGACAAAGATAGTGTCTCTTTTGTTGCCCAGTATATCCTGAGCACACCATCTTGCCTTATACATGATAGATGCTCAATAAATATCTGGAAATAAAAAAGCAAAAGGTCTAAGACCCATTATAACCTTTGTTTATTATGGAAGTCTTATATCCTATTCATCTTCCAGGAATCCTGGCAATGTATTGGTTAACACGCTCCGGTGCTAACTGAAAAGTCAGCAATTTGAACTCACCAGCTGCTCCACTGAAGAAAGGGTGGAAGTCTGCTTCCAAACAGATTACAGTTTTGGAAACCCTATGAGGCAGTTCAACTCTGTCCTATAGGGTGACTATGAGTTGGAATAAACTCCAGAGCAACGGAGTTTATCCATCTTCCCACCTCTATTCCCAGGCTCAGCCACTTCCTGGCAGTGCCCTCCTCGCTTCCCAAAATCTCAAGCTCTTTTGCTTGAGCACCTACTGGAGTCACTTGTCATGGATGGCAGACCTTCACAGGCCATCACTGGTGGCTCTTTGAGGTTTCCCACAACCCCAGCAGAATGTGTGCAGTAGAAGTGACAGAATTAAGCAATAAACAGGCAGTCTAGATGAGTAAAGAGGGTAAAAATATACATTATTATTATTGTTGTTATACTATTTCAAAAGAAAAACATCTCACTTTTCAGCCACTGAGGCCTGTCACAGCTTTTTTTGCAAGTGTAGGAAGGAGTCATTTGTTATTCACAGAGTAATGAACTGAATGCAAATCAGGCTTTTTAAAGGGCCCAAGACAACATTTCAGCAGCAGCTTCCTCTACAGAGAGAGAGAGAGAGAGAGAGAGAGAGAGAGGATATAAGTGAAAGGACACCGCTAGGAAATAATCAAACACATCCAAAACGTGGAAGACACTATAAAAACTAGCCTAGAGAAAGGATCAAATCTGGTGATCCTGTATAGAATGGGAGGAAAAACGTGGAACAAAATCCAGAATCTCAACAATGATCAGAATTACTGGTTGGATGGAAGCTGGTGAGACCCTCAATACTATGACCCTGGGATACATTCTGAGCCTGGAATAAAACTCACTCCCAGGAGTTGGCTCTCAGCCTGATAGTAAACAAGATGTATACACAGAGCCTCAACCCAGGGTGACACAGGCACATACAGTATGGAAATGCATCCCTTGCAATCGACCATGGGGCACCAGAGGTGCAACATTCGCATGCACGGAAAAAATGCAGGACACACAGGAGTGCATAACAATGAGGGGTATGGGGAGCGGGGAAAGGGGAGACTAGGTTAGGGTTGGGGTTGGGGATGGTAAATGGGGAGTGAAACTAAATGTACACATAATGTGAATGTAAAACAAACTCTGCTCTGTAAACTTGCACCTAAAACAGAGTTTAAAAAAAAAAAAAAAGATTACAAACAACAACAAAAAAAACTAGCCTAGAATCTACAAAGTCAATGTCATAAAAATAAAATCAAGCAAAAGTGATGGGAGAGTTGAATATTTAAAGATGCTAAAGAGACATATGAATAAGGAAGACCAAAGAAGAGTCGATGCTTCTGAGTTGTGGTGTTGGCGAAGAATGAAGAAAGTACTGTGGACTGCTAAAAGAACTAACAAATCTGTCCTGGAAGAAGTACAGCCAGAATACTCCTTGGAAGTGAGAATGGCCTGACTTTGTCTCACCTGCTTTGGTCCTGTTGTAGGAAGGGACTGACCATTTCCTGGTGAAGGATATCGTGCTTGCTAAAGTGGAGGATCAATGAAAAAGGGGAAGGCCCTCAACAAGTTGGATTGACACAGTGGCTGCAACGATGGGCTCAGGTATAGCAGGAATCATGGAGCTGGCAGAGGACCAGGCAGTGTTTTGTTCAGCTATACACAGAGTCACTATGAGTCAGAGATGACTCGATGGCACCTAACAACAACAACAACAAAGAGACATAATAACCAAAAGCACTGAGTCTATCCTTGATGGGATCCTGACCCCAACAGATAGTGAGCAAACTGAGAGAAATGTGAGTAATCCATTATAATACAAGTAAAAAGAAAGACACAAAGTAATAATTGAGTAATTCAGTTTCTTTCTGATGGTGGTTAGGATTACAATTAAAAACATAAATGCACACAACACAACACATAAGCTTTTGAATACATGTAACGTAATAGTGTTTATCTCTGATGATAGGGTTATAAAAGTTTTGCTGTTTTCCTTATTATCTATAAAGATTTGCATTGCTAGTGCAACACAAAATATAATTTTTAACAAAATATTTTTAAAATATTCACTTACCTTGGCTGACTTTTCGATATTCAAGTCCCCGTTCAGTTTATAAAGAATAGTCATGTTATACCCAGTCTGATTTCCATGTCCATAAGGCCACCAAGTATCTACAGTAATATTCTGTTAATAAATAAACCATTCTAAGTAATCTGCGGCATATTTTCAGCAAAATAATACAATGATTCAGAGAATTATGTCAATTTATCACATAGACATGCCCAAAAATTCTGGGTTCTAAAATAGTATCAATCTCCATATCCAAAATATACCAAATGACACATATCTTTAGATAATATTTAAAAATCAGCATTCTAGGGGCTTGTTGGTGGTGGTGGTGGTGGTGTTAAGTGCCATTGAGTCCTTGACTCATAGCAACCCTATGCACAACAGAATGAAACACCACCCAGTCCCATGGAAGCTCTGTGATCCCTGCTATACTTGAGCCCATCATGGCAGCCACTATGTCAATCCATCTCATTGAGGGCCTTCCTCTCTTTTGTCAGCCCTCCACATTACCAAGCATGACATCCTTCTCCAGAGAATGGGCCCTTCTGATAACATGACCAAAGTAGGTGAGATGACGTCTGGCCATTCTCACTTCCAAGGAGCTTTCTGGCTGCACTTCCTCCAGGACAGATTTGTTAGTTCTTCTGGCAGTCCATGGTACTTTCAGTATTCTTTGCCAACACCACAACTTAAAAGCATCAATTCTTCTTTGGTCTTCCTTGTTCATTGTCAGCTCTCACATGCATATGAGGCAATTGAAAACATCATGGCTTGTCAGGCGCACCCTAGTCCTCAAGGAACATCTTTGCTCCTCAGCACTTGAAAGAGGTCTTTTGCACCCAACTTGCCCACTGCTATACATCGTGGGATGTTCTGACTGGTGCCTCCACTGGCATCAATTGTAGAACCATGTGAAGTCTTTGACAACTTAATCTTTTCTCCATTCATCGTGATGCTGCTTATATGTCCAGTTGTGAGAATTTTCATTTTCTTGATATTGAGATGTAATCCATACTGCAGACTGTATTCTTCAATCCTCATCAGTAAGTGCTTCAAGTCATCCTCACTTTCAGCAAGCAAAGTTGTGTCATCGGCCTATCACAGCTTAATGATTGTCCCTCCAATCTTGATGCTATGTTCTTCTTCATACAGTCCAACATCTCGGATTATTTGCTCAGCATACAGATTGAATAAGTGTGGAGAAAAGATACAACCCTGACGCACTCCCTTCTTGATTTTAAATCATGTAGTGTCCCCTTGTTCTGTTTGAATGACAGCCTCCTGGTCTATGTACAGGCTTCTTATAAGCACAATGAAGTGTTCTGGAATTCCCATCTTCTCAATGTCATCCATAATTTGTTATGATCCACACAACCAAATGCTTTTGCATAGTCAATAAAACACAAGTAAACATCTTTCTGGTATTCTCTGCTTTGAGCCAAGATCCATCTGACATCTATAATGATATCCCTTGTTCTACATCCTCTTCTGAATCCAGCTTGCACTTCTGGAAGTTCCCTGTCAATATACTGCTGCAACCATTTTTGAATTATCTTCAGTAAGATTTTACTTGCATGTGATATTAATGATATTGTTCTATAATTTACATTCTATGGGATCACCTTTCTTTGGAATGGGTACAAATATGGATTTCTTCCAGTCAGTTGGCCAAGTAGCTGTCTTCTAAATCTCTTGGCATAAGAGAGTGAGTGCCTTCAGTGGGGCATCCATTTGTTGAAACATCTCAATGGGTATTCCGTCAATTCCTAGAGCCTTGTTTTTCAGCAATTCCTTCAGTGCAGCTTCAACTTCCTCCTTCAATAAAATTGGTTCTTGATCATATGCCACCTCCAGAAATGGATGACGATCAACTAGTTCTTGGTACCATGAGTCTGTGTATTCCTTTCATCTTCTTTTGATGCTTTCTGCATCATTCAATATTTTGCCCATAGAATCTTTCAATATTGCAACTTGAGGCTTAAATTTTTTCCTCAGTTCTTTTCAGCTTGAGAAATGCTGAGCAAGTTCTTCCCTTTTGTTTTCTAACTTCAAGCTTTTGCACATTTCATTATAGTAATTGGCTTTGTCTTCTCGATCTGCTCTTTGAAATCTTTGGTTCAGCTCTTTTATCTTGTCATTTCTTCCATCTGCTTTGGAGATTCTGTGCTCCAGGGCAAGCTTCAGAGTCTCTTCTGTCATCCTTTTTTTTTTCCTTTTTTTCTCATCTTTTTTATGACCTCTTGCTTTCTTGATGTCATGCCACAATTCTTCTGGTTTTTGGTCATTGTTGTTCAATGCATCAAATCTATTCTTTAGGTGGTCTCTAAACTCAGGAGGGATATATTCAAGATCATATTTTGGCTCTTGTGGACTTCTTTTAATTGTCTTCAACTTCAAGTTGAACTTGCATATGAGCAGTTGATGGTCTATTCCACAATCAGCTCCTGGCCTGGTTTTGACTGAAGATATTGAGCTTTTCCATCGCCTCTTGCCACGTATATAGTCAACCTGATTCCTGTGTATTCTATCTGGCAAAGTCCATGTGTATATCTGCCATTTGTGTTGTTGAAAAAAGGTATTTGCAATGAATAAATCATTGGTCTTGAAAAACTCTATCATGCGATCTCCAGTGTTATTTGTGTCACCAAGGCCAAATTTTCCAACTACCAGTGATTCTTCTTTGTTTCCAACTTTTGCATTCCAGTCACCAGTGATAACTAACCTATCGTGGTTGCATGTTCGGTCAATTTCAAATTGCAGAAGTTGATAAAAATCTTCAATTTCCTCATCTTTTGCTTTGGTGGTTGGTGCATAAGTTTGAATAATAGTCGTATTAACTGGTCTTCCTTGTAGACATATGGATATTACCCTATCACTGACAGCATTGTACTTCAGGACAGATCCTGAAATATCCTTTGTGATGATGAATGCCATGCCATTCCTCATCAAACTGTCATTCCTGGCATAGTAGATCATATGGCTGTCTGGTTCAAAATGGCCAAAACCAGTCCACTGCAGCTCACTAATGCCTAGAATATCAATCTTTATGTGTTCCATTTCATTTCTGACAACTTCCAATTTTCCTAGATTCATGTTTCATACATTCCATGTTCTGATGATTAATGGATGTTTGCAGCTGTTTCTCCTCAATTTGAGTCATGTCAGATCAGCAAATGGAGGTCTCAAAAGCTTTACTTTATCCATATCAGTAAGGTTGGTTCTACTCTGATGATGCTGCTCTTTCCCAGTTGTAGTTTGAAAGCCTTCTGACCTAAGTGGCTCATCCTCCTACACTATATCAGACGTGTTTCTGGGCTATTCTTATAGTTGCTTAATATTGTAACAGACAATGTTTCTCTTCTATTCATAAGGTTTTCCTTGGCCAATTCTTTGAGAAGTCTATGGGTTTAGTACGAATTAATATACCAAAGGGAAAATGAAAGGAATGACCTGAGTGTTCAGAAAAACAACTGCTTCTATGTATAATATTCTGAGCTTACTTTTATTCAAATTCTTAATATATAGAATTTGACTTTGAGGTTAATTCTTCTTTTAAGACAAGGCTAGAATTTGTTTTAAGTTCTAAACTGTTATTGAATGGTGATATACTCCATTCTTTTCCATTCACAGCTATAATTATTAAAAAAGTATAATCCAGCCCCCCCATCCATGAAAGATCATGAGTCTAGAATTAGAATTCATCACCACAAATAACCACCAATATTAAAAATAAGTAACAAGCACCAGAAATAGTCATTGCTATTTGAAAATATTGTTTAGATTATTTTGGATTTAAGATATTGTAAGTGATACCCAACAACCAACCAAACCCACTGCCACTGAGTAGATTCCAACTCACAGTGAGCTATAGGACAGAGTAGAACTGCCTCATAAGGTTTCCAAGGTTATAAATTTTTAAAAAAGCAGACTGCCTCATCATTCTCCCACAGAGCGGCTAGTGGGTTTGAACCACTGACCTTTTGGTTAGTAGTCAAATGCTTTAACCACTGTGCCTCTAGGCCTCTATAAGTGATACAGGACAGTATAAATACTACCGGAAAAAAAAAATGACTTCTTAAGGGCAAAGAATGTCAAATTAATCATGTATTCTTCATTTTCCTAATCCTAAAATTTGGGAAAATAATTTCTTAGCTTTTATGTACATAAAATACATGAGAGGTTAAAAATAGAGGAGAAAATGGAAAAACAGTTCCTTAATTCCCTACTTTCTAACCTTTTCTTTTGAGCAGGTATGGCTTTTCATCCAGTGCTCCACAGGAAGTACCATCATTTACCTTATTAATTTTCACAAGGAGTTCAACAGTACTTTCCCCAGATTGAAGTTCAATGCTGTATGTCCGCTGTGTTTGCAGTTTAGGGATGTCTATGACCACTTGACCACCAACTGGCTTTGAGCTCACAACATCAAAAGAAGACTCTATTTCGAGATTCCACTCCTGGGCACTGTTATCTAAGGCAAAAAGAAAAAAAGTTTTACACACACACACACACACACACACATATATATATATAATATGCTGAGCATTATCCTTGCACTCCTCAGGATTCATGAGGACAAGACCAAAGCAGCTTCTAAACCAATGAGTGTTCCACAGATGCCATCAGATAAAAAGTTCAATGGAGATTCTCTTTTCATCTTGAGAGTTTAATTCTTCATTTAAAGAATAACCAAAATCACATATTTCATGTATACTTCCACTCTAAAAATGTTAGGATTATAAATCATAAAAACTTGTAAGTAGGACACAAACAGAGAAAGAAAAATGCAAAGATAACATAAATCTTCCAAGTATGATACATTCATTCCTTTTCATTAAGTAAGAATAATGAGAGTTTTAAATGTATAATTTGGTATAAATTTAGATGCATTAGAATTAATCAAGATATTAAAAAAAATACATATACATTTTAAACGTAGATAATTTATTCCAGAAGTATTTACCAAGAAGCTTCTATGTGCCATATACTTTGCTAAATGATAAGAATTAAATAGTGACCAGGATAAATGTGGCCATGCCCTCATAGGCTAGGAGTCTAATGTAGTACAGCCAAGTATGACAGTGTGACAATAAGTAGATGGAGAAATAAAAGGTTGTTCTGAGAAAATATAAACAGGAAAGAAAGACACCTAATTCACAGTGGCTGAGGAAAGGCCTCCATGAAAAAGGCAGTATCCAGCTGAAACTAGAGGATGCACCAGCTAAGTGCAGGAGAGGACAAGTGTTTGGGCAGTGGGAAAGAAAATTGCTGTAACAAGGAATTTGAATAGTGCCACATGGAAAATCTGGGAATGGAAAGGGGCAAAAAAAAAAAAAAAAAATAGTGGACAGAGAGGAGAAAGTAGAGTAAGGCTGAGGAGGAGGGTGATGAGGTGGCTGCCATGAAGAATGGAACTTTGGGTTTAAAGTTAGGGAGTGGAGGGAAATGGTTTCAAGAGCATTTGAAATAGTGTTTTATACTTTATGCATAATAAACTCTGTCTGGTTACCCAGTGTTGCTCTGACAGAAATATACCACAAATGTGGATGGCTTGAATAAGCAGGAGTTTATTCTGTTATGGTTTGGGAGGCTAGAAGTCTGAGTTCAAAGTGCCAGGCTCCAGGGGCTGAGTGAAAGGCCCTAGACCTTGGACTTCATTCAGCTCTGCCTCTTGCTCCCAGCCCACTGATGCTGGAGGCTTTCTTCACTCAGGCAGCTGCTGGCTGCTGAGGCTGACAAACTCAAGGTTGACAAGTAAAAAGGCATAGTCCCCAATATTACCAAACCACATGTCAGGCCATTGATTCAAGTCCATTAAAAGTCCAAAGATGGGCAGGCAACACGGCAGGCTGCTCAACAACTTGGTTACATACAGGATTCAAGAATGTCAAATGCTGGAGACTGTCCTCAAAGCTGCTTCTTATACAATAGACGCAGACTACATCCCTGAAGCAGCTACTCAGCTGCTCCACTAGATTCCACCATGGAATTAATTACCAATCTCACCATGGGGAATAACTACATCCAGCTGCCCAGCCACTCAAAACCAGGCCCAGACAAGTGGACCCATAACCTAAACTAACACAACCCCTTCCTCCATTTTGCCTTAAATTTATACTACTGTATTTAACATCTCCAGAACTTGATTTGCATTTTGGTTTGGTTTTTTTAATATAAGGCAATGACTGTGCTGAGGCAAGAAAGATCAAGGTGGAAAGCAGACTTATCATATTTAGGTTAACCAAAACCAAACCAAACTCATTGCCATTCAGTTGGTCCCGACTCATAGCAACCCCTCCTTGGGTTTCCGAGCCGGCATCTCTATGGAAGAAGATTGCACAGTCTTCCTTCTGAGAAGTGGCTGGTGGCTTTGAATTGCCAGCCTTCTGGTAAGCAGTCAAATGCCTTAGGCACTAGGCCATAAGAGCTCCTTGTATTTAGGTTACACAGGAGAAACTGAGGATAAGGTCCCCCTAAAAGGTAAGGGAGTCAGAGCCACCAAGGATGGTTCATTCTCTACTGACACAGAAAGGAAAGAGAAAGCAGTGACTGAATCAGATGTACTTAAATTTGTATGAATGTGCTAAGAAATTGAGAGTTCCTTTTTGATGGCTACTATTTTAAATTTGGTGTCTCCCTCCTTCTTTTATATGCAACAATGGGCTCAAAGACAGCAATGATTGTCAGGATGTTGCATGATATGGCAGTACATCATTCTGTTGTACAAAGGGTCACTATGAGTCAGAATCGACTTGATGGCACCTAACAACATTTTTCTGTCAGAAGAGATGGACAAGGTTATTAGTTGAGAAATATCTTAGGGATGCTTCTCCTACAAATAGGGAAGGGATTAATAATTGTGGATTTACTGCAAAAGATAGCAGAGATGGGCTGTATAATATATAAAAGCCTTTATAAATGGCAGTTATTACTAAGGCAAAACCACGCCACACCAGTTGGAAAGATGACCACACCATTTTCCATCATTTGCATCTCATGTTAGCCAAAATACAGATGGATTTGATGCACAATGAAGTAAAATTAATCACAGGCTTGAGAATGACTTCTTATTATTAAATGATTCATTTTGAGAAATACAAGTCAATGAGCCCTGAATTAGGTTGTCTCTGATCCAACAAATTTTGCAATCTCTCCTGTCATACTCTCCATATTTTCTAAGATACAGCAAAATATATCAACACAACCACATCTTTTGTTTTTAAGTTACCAAGTATATACCGAATCTCTCAGTTCTCCTTTACAGCGTTTTTGGTTTTAAACAGAAACACACATTCCAATGTAATCCAAAACTGTTTATTTTCTACAATATCCTAAATTTTTGATAGCTGCATAATCTCTAGCTCCTTACCATACTCTCTCTTCCCTTCCTTCTTGTCTCCTTCTTCAAAAAATAACAGCTAACATTTACTGAGAACTTAGAATGACATAGGCATTGTTTTCCACTGTAGATATGTGTTAAATTATTTAAGCCTCAAAACAATCCTTTGGGAGATCCAGCAAGATGGCAGACTAGGCAGAAAGCCTGCACAGACCCTCTTCAACAAAGAAAAGGGAAACCAATTAACACAGACACAGAAGATAATCTTGGACCCCTGAGCCTTGAAGAGAAGGATACAGAAGTGGACTAAACCCCAACTAGCAGAAGAATTTGTGTGAAAATACCAAAAAAGGAGACACACAGAGCT